TTTTGGGCTATTAGAAACATCTAGTTATATTTATATTTAATAATTATAAAACAATCTCTGGTCTTCTATTAACATCTTTTTACATCTTAATATAATTATTAATAGTCCCAATCATCTAATTACAAACTTTAAAATAATTCAGCTTATTAAGCATATTGGCTAAACATTTTTAACTAATCCAACTTGCAATATTTCATATATTTTAAATAATGAAATTATCTTTCTTGAATCTTTTTTTTTTCTTATTTTAAATACTCTATTTCAAAAAATAATTTAGATATTACAAACTTCTTTTTCTTGATCAATTTACTACATATAAAAATTTATGCCTATTATATTAGTAACATATTTTTTTTAGACTAAACAAATTCTGTAAAAGTGTTATATCTTAATAGTTTACTATTCTTAAGAATATTACTACCAGTTATTCTTATTAATATATTTTATATAATTATTTTAATCTAACTCAAGTAAATTACTTTTTTATACTACTAATTATTTTATTTCTAATACCGAACCTTGGCTACTTATTATTCTTAATAATCAAATAATTATTAATAAGGTTAGAAGGTATAATAGCCCTATAGGTCTTACTCTTATTACTTACTGGCACTGCCTATTTTAGTCTCAGTTTTCTAATATTTATTCTACTCTCTCTTCTATTGTTACAATATACCCTGAATGTTATTTTAATTTCAATTAATTACTAACAAATGCAATATTTTTATTTTTACAAACTTAGCTACTAAACTACTCTGTTATATTAATTTTGATAAAACTCTTAATCTATATACTAACTTTTTTGCCATTGCATATTCTGTAGCTATATAGTACTTTTTATATATTCTATTTCCTTTTTCATTAACAATTAACTTATAACAACTGTCTTGTATCTTTTAATTAGACCAACTTACTAATAGTCTACAGTCTATTGCTAACTTTAATTACAATCTATCTATTATTTTATTCAATACTGATAGTTCTGTTATTGATCTTAGTACCTTCTAATACTCTATAATATAGATTAGATTCATGTAGATAACTACAACTTTTCATTTATTTTATACACAAGTTAAACTCTAGTCATGTTTTTTTAAAGCTAAAATTTTTGCTATTCTCTTAGTAATCATTACTACTTCTAGAAACTGCTTTGTTTACATATTTACTAACTTACAATTAATAATCTCTAAATATTATAATATTTGATATTCATCTTCTATACTTTTCTATTTATTAACTTCATTAACACATATAATAATCAGCTTACTTTTTACAAAGTTACTACACATCAAGATGACCTATTCAATAATTTTACTAACTAACTTGCTTGCAATTACCAAATACTGTCTTTTTTAATATTTTTAACTAATAATCTTTATAATCTTACTTATATTCTATTTACTAATCAAGTTTCTATTGAAATTCCTATTTAACAATCTATTTGTACTATTTGTCAAGCTTATATTATAACATTTTGATCATTTTAATATTACTTTTAATAATGGTTTACTATAGTATCTAATATTAACTAAAAAATCATTTAGCTTTATATTAAAAACAACTAAAAAATCTTTAATTTTGCTCATAACATTTATTCTTCTATTTTCAAAACTTTTTATATTAAAATTTTTCCAAATAAACTATCTGTTTCTTATACTTTTTACAAACATAACCCTTTATACTCCTCTTCTTGTCATCAATGCAATTAAATTAGTTTTTTACTATACTGAGTTACCAACTCTTTTATCTAAATTATCTATCATCTAGTTTCTAATTCTCTTAACTGTATTCTAAATGCAACTGCTTTTGACATGTTTACTAATCTTGTTTCTAACTTATATAAAGAAATTCTTATACTTAACAGTTTCAAACTATATAACTTTTCATATATATCATCTCTTACTTTTACTTTATCTAGTTTAGTTCTTACTGATCTTATTTTTATTATTTATAATACTTTTATTTCTTATTGTATTGCTATTTCTCTTTTTATTTAAACTTTTTATTTATTTAAACTAACAAATATACAAACAAATATGGATTTTATACAGTCTTAAATTACACCTTCTACTAATTTAACTTATAGTTCTTCTTTTAGTTTACCTTTATCTCTTATTTCAATATTACAAATTATTACTAAAATTGATCTTTGAACTATTTAATAGATTAAATATTATGTTCTTTTTCCTTATATTATTACTAACACCCAAATCTAGATAAACCTTGATCACTCTTATAGGTTTAGATTATAGATTATATATTTGAGTCTTTATTATTCATATATAATTTAAAAGCAAGTTTTTCTTTATAAAAAGTTTAATTAAATTTTAATAAAGTTAAAAATATGATCTCACTATTAATATTTTTTAAAAAATAATAAACAGATAGAATAGTCTTGAATAATTAACAAAATTAAAAACAATATAAAATTACAAAAAAGCAGAACTAATAAAGAACATATATAAAATAAATAAAGTGTTTAAAAACAAAATATATTAAAAAAATAACTTAACATATTAATGATACTAAAAGTAAAAAAATTTAAAAATAGATATTAGGATAAAAAATAACCTATATGTATTTTTTAGATATAGTATTAGAATACAAAAGTTATTAAAACCATAATTGTTTAAGAAAAATTGAATTAAAATAGAAGTAACTAATTTAATATACATATTTAAATTAGCAACTTAATGCAAGAAGATAAAAACTTATTATATAACAACATTTTAAAAACTATTAAAATCTAACAAGTAGAGAAAAAAAACAAAATAGTTTAAAAAAGTAAAAATAAAAGTATTTAAAAAATTAAAAAGTAAAAGAATTAAAAATTACTTTAAAACAAATAAATACAATTTACAAACAATAAATATTAAGTAAAAGAGAATTTTAAAAAACAAAAAAAAGAAAAAATAAATAGCTTATAATTTATAAAATGTATGATAACTAGATAAAATAATAAATAAGAAAAAAAATAAAATTTTAATAAAATACTAAAGAATATAAAATAAAGACAATAACTTAGCAACTATAATTAGCAGATGTAATGAATATATAAAAAAAAATAAACAAAATAGAACTATTAGAAATAAATAAAAAAGAACAACAAGGTCAATATAATTTCAAAAATCTTAGTAGAAAAAAATAGGAATAATATCAAAATAATAGTAGATTAACTGCAAAAAAAATAGAAGTAGAAGAATAAAAAAGTAAAAAAAGACTTAAAAGATTAAAAACAATAAAAAAATAGAAGAAAAAATAATTTTAAAACAAAAATTTAAAGATATTAAATAAGAATTAGTAAAAATGCTTAAAAAAATATAACAAAAAACAAGAAAAAGTATATAATTTATAAAAATGTTGCAGTAAATATAAAATCTAAAAAAAGTATCAAATAAGAATATAAAAATAAGATGAGTTCAAATAAGTAAAAAAAAAGATTGGCCAAAAAAAGAAATTAATATTAAAAGTAAAAAGATGACCAAACATCAATAGTAACAGAATTAATAACAGCAATCTTAATAATATCAAAAGAAAAACAAGTAGAAATATGTACAAATAGTAATATTGTAATAAGAAACATTAACAAAAATTTAAGTATGCACACAAAAGTAAGGTACTGAAGAAGAAAAATACAATATAGTATTAATTAAAATAAACAGTTAATATGTAAGATAGAGCCTATTAATTATTTAAGTAATATTCACAATTGATTTTAATTTGTAAAGTGATCCTGTTATATCAAAAATTTGTAATAAGTTCTAATTGATTATTTTAAGATGAAATTGGTAAAATAAATATAATAGCCAATAAGAAATTCTGGCTGAACCTCAAAATTAATTTTACTTCAATTTTAGTCAGGATCAATAATTGGTCAATTAATGTTAGTTAATTACAATTTTTAGTTTAAGATCTTGTATTTATTAAAAACTAAATTTATGATAAGAGTTTCTGAATTCTTAATAATATGCATATCGCCGAATGTTATTATTCATATATGCTAAATTCTGGCAGAATGCCGGAATATACCAGCAGGTAGGTATTCAGCTAGCTGAATAGAACAAAAAAAACTATTCAGTAACCTTTTTACCAAGATAATTTTCATCTAATATATTACTAATTTCAATAACTTTGACTAGTGTAATGTTTATTTAATATGACTGATAAAATTACAATTTTCAAGTTAACTACATAAAATTTTTATATCAAAATTTTTTATTTGTAGTTCTCATTTCTCTCTTTATAGTAACAACCTTGGTTTTTGAATTTTGAATAAACATATTGTTGTTATATTTTGAGTAAAGTTATTTACTTTGTTGAAGAATTGACTATGTAAATAGAATAATTTGAAAAAATATCATTGTTACGCTATTCTAGGTGAGGTAAAATATTATATACAACAAATTAAACTGTATTATTCACAGTAAATTCGGATCCTTATAAAAAAAATCCAATTATTAATTAGTATATATAATGCCTACTTATGATTCGATTTTATTAATTTGACCTAACGTATGAATTTTTTCATGTATGGCAAAACATGATCATGTCGCATCTGAAGTAGCGATTTATCTAAAGTAGCAACTTTATATTTCTAAAGTAGCAACTTTATATTTCTAAAGTAGCAACTTTATATTTCTAAAGTAGCTCCCTGGCTAAAATTAAAATCTAATGCATGCATGAAGATCTAATTTCAGGGGCTTGATTTTAGTCAGGCGCTACTTCAGATGCGACAATTCTCGTATATAATAAATATGGTAAAGATAGTCATGTCAAATTTACAAAGTGTTAAAACGTTAAAACGGTAAAAAATTACTTTATCTATAAACATATAGCACGACTCAATGGTTTAAAATTTATCTTTTTATTCTATTTAATAACAAAACTATTACCAAAATTCTTAGTTATTTTTTTATTTGATATTTAAATAAAAGGCTTTATCTCTTTGCTCACTGGACACAGAATATAGCGCAGATTCGGTAGAATTCTGTCCTTTCGAGGATTATTCTCAATTTCTAGCATGTGGAACTTATCAATTGGCAGAATCAGAAATTAAACAAAATGAATACGACAATGAGGTCCAAGAATATAATGATAATCACGATAAAGTATCATCTCAACCAAAGAGGAGATTAGGAAGACTACTATTGTATCAAATCACGAATGATGAATATTCTGTTGCAATGTAAATTATTTACATACTGAACATTAGCTATTCTTATTTTATAAAGATATTAAAGTAGTTTTATAAAATAATTGAATAGGAAAGAAATACAACGAATAGAAACTTCTGCTATATTGGACATTAAATGGTTTGTCCATAATTATTTAAATTGAAAACTGTCTTTTTCATAAACAACTAATGTTTTTATAACCAAGGTCACATCAATGTATCGATAATCAAATGATCCTTGCGTTAGCGGATGCATCTGGAAAAGTTGGTTTATATAGGCTGAATCAAAATAAAGTGTGTTTAATTTTTCTGCTAATCTTAAATGGTTGCAACATATTAACCTTTTCATCATTAATTTAAAAGTCACAACTTGATCTCATTATTTTGCATTCTGTAAATAATGATGATAAGTTATGCCTTTCTCTTGATTGGTCTGATCGTATAGGATTAAGGTATCAGTTGGACTGATTATAATAAAAGCCTATTATCATTTCGTTTATATAATATATTAATTGTTTTTACTTGTAATAAATAGTAATGATAGGTCAATTGTATTATCACAGAGTGATGGAACTATAGCAGTTTTATCTGTTGATAGACAGTTTGGAATTGTTGAAAAAAATCGATGGATGGCTCATGATTTTGAAGCTTGGATAGCTGCATTCAATTATCATAACACAAACATAATATATTCTGGTTAGTAATTTATATCAAACGTTGAAATTTATTATTTTTATGATATTGATTCTTGTAAAAATTAGGTGGGGATGACTCTTGTTTGAAAGGATGGGATTTGCGTACAAATTTATCATCTTCACTATTTACGAACAAAAGGTTGTAATAATCAATTCAAATTTTTACTTATTTAAAAAATTAACATATTATATACTTCAGACATCATCAATCAGGTGTTTGTAGCATCCAATTTAATCCACATTTTGAGCACTATTTAGTTACAGGGAGGTAGGAAAATTTATAAAGTATCAATTTGTTAATTAAATTACTTACAAACAATTATCTTAATTATTTTATTTTGAAAGCTATGATGAACATATACTGCTTTGGGATACAAGAATGTTGAAACAGCCAATATCAGATCATCATATAAATGGAGGTGTCTGGAGATTAAAATGGCATCCGAAAAAGAAGGATTTTTTACTAAGTGCGTGCATGCATAATGGATTTCATGTAATAAAAGTTAATTACACGTCTGAAGCAAATAATAATGGTAGTTAAATTAAATATTTATTTCTGTTAGATATAATAAATAATATAATTGATAAATCAAACAATTTCCATAGATTCATATTCTATGCATAATATAACAAGTTTTATGGAACATAAATCTTTAGCGTATGGTGTTGATTGGTCATATTCCCAAAATTTAGCAGCAAGTTGTTCTTTTTATGATCATACTATTCACCTTTGGTAATGTAATGTAATGTAATTTAAGTTTAAAAATAAAAAATAAAATATTAATTTTCATTTTATTTGTAGGAAACCATTTTTAAATTAAATTATTTTGTAAATTGTTTTACCAATTATTATAATGAATATATTTAATGCATCAGGTACGACTGTTAAGTTTATAATTAATAAATTTACTGAATAGATTTATAAATATATAGATTAACATATCAATATGCATTTTAATAAAATCTCCAGTATTTGAAATACCGAACAAGATCATAATATTGTATTAAAATATTTACGAAAATCATAATTATAGAAATAAAGATCGGTAATTTCTCATTTATTAACATACTGCATCTAATACCTATTGCTATCGGTATATTTTCATTTACCCTATGGTGCTTTTACATTAAACTACTATTTAATTCAATAAATTCGTTGCAATATTTAATAAGCAACTCAGCATTATGTGTGTTGGCATGGTCAAAAATATCATCAACGTTAGAGCGTTCAACGTAACCATCGCTAATAATTTTCTCTATCGCATCTTTTTTCAAGTCTCCTATTTCGTAATAATCAGAAGCCTTCAACAAATCTATTAAAATATTTGATTGTCTTTCTTTTTCTTTAAAAATATTCTCATCTTGATTATCATAATAATCGTTGTAGTAATCTTCAGTTCTACAATTAATAATCTTAAAGGTATTGCTATCTGAATTATTTTTTGTAATAGCCATATCAAGTGGCATAGAATATAGATATCTTAACAAAACTACAAACGATTCAGGATTAATGGCGCATGCAGGAATTCTTGCTATTTTATACGGGTCGCCATCTCTATAATTACTTGAAAATGCAATCTTGAAATGATTTGAAGCTGCTGCAAGTACATATCTATTTGCGCAAATCTCACCATATTCAGCTTTAAAATTATTCCATTTTTCTTGCAAATCATCACTAAAATCCTGACCTACGATAAATATTACATCATTAAGTGAATTGTGTTCATCTAATAATTGTTGAAGTGACTTTATAAGGTTTAGGGTCTTAACGTTCATATCCTCATTATTTTTTTTGACTTGAATATAATCATAAATATTAGGTCTTATTATTTTGTCGGCTCCTGCAACTTTCAATAGTTTTCCGTATTTTACAAGAGTAGGTTTAACAAAATTTTGATCCAATCGGCTAGCGCCAATAACTAGTTTATCAGCTGAAACCCAATTTAATTCATCAAAAATATTTTCATTCGGATACATGTTTAAAAAGATTGTTTCGCCTTCATAAAAATCCGACTCTGTAAGAGTACACTCCTCACATTCTTCATTGAGTATAATATAGATATCATCAACAATCTTTTTTAGGAGAAGTTCTTCAAACATCCATTGATCAGATTTTATTAACTCCGAGGCTACCTCGCGTAAATGTTCAAGAACTATGTGGGCACTTGGTTTTCCGAAATTTTTAAACTTTTTGAATATTGATGAAGTAGGACTTGGAACTACGTCATTGTGAAATATTGCCCTTTGTGTAAAAGCTTAAAAAAATTTTCGATAAATAAAAGGCATTTAGAATTGTTAAACGTGTAATTTAAATTATTTACCTATTGTTTTATACCTAGGTAAGCACAATGTGTTAAAACTTTCAAATTTTTTGGGGATCTTTGCATTTGTTGAATAAGGTGATTCAATATACATCTCTGCCGGAATGAAACCTAAAATTCTCAATTCACCATTCCATTCAACATCAGAAAACCCAAGTCCATCTACATTATCATAAAGATATTTAACTATAATTGTAGAACGATATAATAGGTTTTCTGGAGGTTTTCGATCGTGGGTATACTTTACAATCGCTCTTGCACATTCTAGAAAAGTTCGTTGATTTACTTCATATTTAAACCCCATTCTTTTAAGAATGTCTAAGCAGTAATCATCATTTTGAATATCATCGTGAAGAAATAGGTCAGACCCTTCAAAAGTGATTTGAAATAATGGAATTCTATAATCATAAAGATCTCTTGCATTTTTAAGCTTCTTAGTTTTCTTATTTGGAAATATAGCTTTATTTATGATCCAATATTCAGCTTGGTCCAATTCCTTCGATTTTAAAACGCTTATAATGAATTTAAGGTGATTTTCGTGATTTTCCCTTGGAAGCACATAATGATTTTGTAAATAATTAATAAGATCTATGTAAGAAGTATCCAATGCTTTTAGTGTCTTTTTGTGACGTTCCTTTTTGGCATTGAGGAATAGCTTATTTGGATGGTTTTTCGAATTCATTACAATACCATCTGGTGGAAGGAACCCATTAATTGGACTCGCGAATTGTTGTCCACATAAGGTAGGCCAAATAGGTAATTTACGTAAAATGTCTTTAAATTCAGTTTTTACTGTAAAGTAAATTTATAATGGAATTAATTATAAAATATTTATATGAATACTATTGTTATTTATTGTTATATTTACCTATCGTTCCATCGTTTAAACTAAAATTATTCCAATTTTCGATAATAAAATTTCTTAACGCCTTAGCCTTAACTTTATTGTTTAAAAAGCCGAAAGTTTTGCCATTTTGTTCTGCATTATGAATTGATTTTAAAATTTCATCTGGCGTCCATTTGTGGATATAGTCATTTAGTTTCTCATCCCAGGGACGATCAGTAAATCTAATTCCTAAAGCTTCAAGTATTTTGATCAGTTCTTCATAATGCGTATCATCTTTAGGTAATTCAATTAAGGGTTGTCTTGAATCTAAAAATGTCAATTCTTTTGTTGGACGTATAACCTCTAAAAGTGGATATTGAAAAAATGCTTCCAAACTGGCGTTTGATTCCAAAATAAATTTCCAAATTTTATTTAGCCAAATTTTATTGGGAATGTACGTAGATTCAGGATCCCAATTTGTTATTTGTTGCCCAAATGGAATTTCATATTTTAAAAGATTTCCAAGAGATACAGCATTAAATTTCCTTACGTTGGTTTTCTGCTGAAATTCAATATTTTCAAAAAATTTTTTCAATTTATCATCATCACTACATATCTCGTCAACAAAATTTGATAAATCAGCATTTGGCACCAAATTACATTCTTCAAATGTCGCTATATATTTTTGCCTAGATCGTCTATCAAATTTGCCCCAACTCTTATCAGCAAGTGGAATCAAATTAATGTTATGTAAATCTTCATAGTTATTATCTTCTAAAATAAATAAAAGTAATGTGATCAATTGCTCATAACTAAATTTGTTTGAAAGATCTATGTTCCGGAGATTTTCCCTAACCATTTTTGCGGGAATTGGGGCCCATTTAACATCTACATTTTTTAAATCATCTAACATTTCCGATGATAAATGCACACTCTTCACATCACTATATTCAGAAAGTATATTGATGATAAACTCATCGCTATCAAAGAACGCCTCTTGTAAAGAGACATATGACCCATTTCCATTAGCTGATCGAAAGAGGGGCTTATCCATAGGAAGATTTTTAAGAACTTTCTCCCCGAATTCTATTACATAAATAGCAGCTTTTTCTCTGTTAAGTGGTAAAGGCCACAAATATTTCAATATTTGTTTATGATTGATGTTATTATTGATTAAATATTCTACGACATCCACCAAAAGATTAGCATATAACATAGGTAAAACTTCTAATAGTAGATGCTTATTCCATGACAACTTAGATTTGTCCATTTCAACCAATGAATCGTCGTCTAAAAGAACTGTGGATCTATCTGAGGATATTGCCCAGTCTCCATTAAGATGTACTGGTAGACGAGTCACTTGAGGTAGAGGTAAATAACAATATAACCGTCCATTCACTGCTCTTTCAGTTGGATGTAAAGGAAGTGAAGCAGCAACACCTCCACGTAATAACATTCGATGGCATTTTGCGAATTTAGTTAATGCTATAGATTCGACAGAAACTCCTCCGATGCATACCTGCCACAACTTTGAAATTGTATTAATACCATCTTGAAATTCGATATTTAGACAAAATGAAGTAAATCCTTCGTTCGTATGTTGCCTTTTCTCTTGAATTTCCTCAGTCATATTAGGAATATTAATTTTCCACAACAATGCAGTTTGATCAGGTTGAGAGACTTTAGCTAACTTCTTAACTTCAAAAGATTGGATATTTCGAAAAAAGATTAATTCCGAAATTGCATTTAACTTCAGTTTTTCTAAGAAGCCTAAAATATCGGAAGTATTAAAGATTTCGTCACATATTTCGCTTCGACAAACGCGTAGTGGAAGCCTAAATAATGTTCCTTTGTATTCCTGATCAAATCTACAACCTTCTATCCCAACATATGGGGCTAATTGATCACTGAACAAATTTCTAAACTCTTCATCAAGAAAATTAATTTGAATACCACGCTGTTTTGGAAGAAATTGTTCATGTGGATCCAAAAACGAAATGTATTTGCCACTGACAAAACTAGGAACATCGGTAAAATGAAAACATGAATTAAATCCAATCCCAAATTTTCCGATTTTTGTAGAATCATCGCGTTTTCCACCCTCATGAATATTAAGTAGTGAATCAAAATCATGATTATTGAACATTCCATCATTATATATCCAGATTGCTGGACCTTGCCAAACTGCCATTTCTTTTGTTATTAAAGATTCACATTGTTGACTCATCGAACGTTCGTCAACCGTAACACTATGAAAATTTAAGGATTATTATAAATATTTGATACTTATAAAATGAAGCTACTTTAATATATTTACCGAAAAATTTTGGCCCCCGCGTCATCTGCATTTTGCAAGAATTCACCTACATTTAAATTTTATAGTAGTTGACCGAGACAATTTTTTCTTGTCAATTAATGTGGTTAAGCTAGCCTGTTGAATACTGTTTTTAACTTCATTAATAAAACTTTTATTACTTACGAAATACAGATTCATATGGATAATCCTATGAAAATATAAATAATATAAATTCAAGTTTAAAAGTATAACAAGGTCAAAATTTTAGTACTACCTTTATAATACTCTTAATTAGATTAATCAATCTAGAGCTCTGTCCATATTGCTTTACCCTGTCAGATAATAAAAAACCATTTCTTTCTTGATACATCTTGGTGATATTTTGTCCAGTCCTGAATAGATATAAATGGTTATTCTTGGCATTCAGCTAATACAGAGACGTTATTTAATGACTTTATTTTTATTATTGAAAATAAATATGACAATTGACCAGAAATAGAAATTATAATTGCACCGGGTACGCATTGCGAGTGATACAAACCCAAAAACGGAAATTAGCCAATAGGAGAACGTCCCGACACGTGAGCAAATCTAAGAAAACAACGAAAAAAGCAAAAATGCAAGAATATGAGTGTTTAAACCTGTCTTGAAGCACTAATTAAAAATGATGGAAATAAAATCTTACACATGAGTTATTATTTATTTTTATTGCTTCTAACTTCAATGCCCTAACTATAAAATTTTAAATTACGACTTAATGTAATATTGTTAATGTTACCACAAAACGTGGTTGAGAATCTATTCATATTGTTGACTCTAATAGAGTCAGCAATAAAGATAAATTCTCAAAGTTAACCGGATTTATTTTTAAATCCGGATCAATCCGTTTTTATCATAGCACAGTACAATAGGGGTTAAATCACCACCCTAATTAACTTCGCTGGTCAATCAGATTTCAAAATCTTGTGTATCGCAAAAGAAGTGAAAAAAATCTAAACAAATAAACGCTTGTAGCTCAAAACTTTGCTTATGAAAGTGCCTTCCGCGTACTAACAAAAACTTTCCATCATGAATTTTACTATAACTATGACCCTCTAAACCAAACACTAACCTAATGGTGGGACCCTAACCTTAAACTAATTGCGAAACAACGTTGTTAATAAGATCACACATAGTCGGCGAAATTTTTTAGGATCCACTCTTTTTTAAAAAGCGTCAAATTTTGAGATTATATAATCAAACATGATTGGTTAATTTTTGTGTAATGAAATTTGGATGGTTAAAAATATATATAACCAATTTTTTTATATATTAAACTACGGAGGAAATCACACACGGTGTGATCAATTAAAACAAATTATTTATTTTATTTTAAATTGATCACACCATGTGTGGGATTCACTTTGAATCGGGCATGTTTCCACCTATTATATTAAACGCAAATTTTTTTAATTACATTAACCCCTGCATGTGGCCTCTTACGTCATTTTTTCAGGTCGTTAAAAATTATAGTCAGAATATTATAAAGAATAATTTCCTGAGAAATTTCATATATGGGGGCACCCATAGCAAAAGCAGGTGATAAATCTATATATTATATAGTTCTATCACCTGCTTTTGCTGTGGGCACCCCCATATAAAGAAACTTGATAAGCATTATTTAACATAGTGAATTTGGCTATTCAAGAAATTACTACTAATAACAAACTGGAAAGTATTTAATTAATAATTAAAGCATTTTATTTCTTCATTTTGATGTTAATATTTTTTACATCATTATAGAAATAAAAAATTCTAACTATTAAAATTTATCTTAAAATTTTTGATTTTGCAATTAGAAATTTTAAGTCTTTAAAAGAGAATTCTTGAATGTTTTCATTGGTAGATAAAGAAATAAATAGCAATCAGAATTAGATAAATAATAATCTATCATTATTATTATTGTTATCATTTTTATTTTCTTTGAATTTATCATTAATTTTATTATTCTTTTTATTAATTTTATCATTAACTTTATTAGTTTCATTATTTTTATTGACTTTATTAGTTTTATTATTTTTATTATTATAGTTATTATTTTTATTAGGTTTATTATTAATTATTATTATTTTTTTTTGGTTATAGTTTTTATTATCAGTAATTATTTTTTTTAAAAAAAAATTATAAATAGATATGTATTATAATAAGTATTATAGACATATATATGAATATATATGTATTTTCTTTATTTTAAGTGACAAAACTAATTTAGCAATTGCAATTTATTGTTATTCATTTTGAGATTAGTATATATTATATACTTTTAATGATATGATGTTTAATAGTATTTATCTTAGCTTAAACATTAACATTTGCATTATTTAATTTTTGTTATATGTTTGTAAATAGAATAATTAATAATTTTTTTGATAATACAATTAATGTCTATAAGAGAGTAAATCTTTTTTATAGACTTAAATATTTTATTATAATTTAAATGCTTATTTGAATACTAATTACTATCTAAAAAAAATTTAAACTAATAAAACTTAAAATAATATACCTGAATAATTAATAAATATATGAAAAAAAATTTTATTTATATTAATTAATCATTTTGATATATGAAAAGATGTTAGTAGAAATCAAGCAAATTGTTTTTAGTATATTTTTTTTAAATTTAAATTAAAATATCTCAACAACTATTAATCTAAACTTAGTAATTTTTTTATATTTTAATTTTATAACTATATAGAATTAAAATAAAAAAAAATTTATTAAGTTTGGTTTAATAATTGTTGAGATATTTTATTTTAAAGTTTAAAAAAATTTATTTAGAAACAATTTGCTTGGTTTTTACTAGCATTTCTATATAAAGTTTAATATTAGCAATTAAGTTAATTTTATTTAAATTATCAAATAGTATAATTTGTATTTGATCTTTAATATTATTATGAGTATATTAATGATAGAAATTCTATTTTAAGTGTTTTATTATAAACTGTAAACAAATTATATTTGTTATCATTATATAATATTAAATTCTTTTTTTTTTTATTAAAATAATATTCAAGTAGAAACCTTTTATATATAGAATTTAAAGTTCTAAAATTAAAAATTTCTAAACTATATTTGTGCTACAAGTTGGCACCCAATGTGACATTATATTCTCTATTTTCTATGAATACTATAGCTAACTATTGTTAACATTAAGAGTTTTACACATTTTTGACCATAACTTTTGATGTACCAAACCAATTTGGATGAAACAACCAC